TGTTGTTACTGTTGTTGCTACTGTTGTTGTTGCTACTGTTGTGTGCTAGGCTGCTACAACAGAGTGATATGTAAAAAACAATATTTGTACAGTTTTTTAAAGATGTTTGGCGAGATATATTGTGGTGAGTGATGGAGTTACCTCACTGTGGCAGGGAATGAGGGATCCTTCACCGTGGCAGGGAATGAGGGGATCCTCCACTGTGGCAGGGAATGAGGGGATCCTCCACTGTGGCAGGGAATGAGGGATCCTTCCACCGTGGCAGGGAATGAGGGGATCCTCCACTTGGGCAGGAATGAGGGGATCCTCCACTGTGGCAAGGAATGAGGGATCCTTCACCGTGGCAGGGAATGAGGGGATCCTCCACTGTGGCAGGGAATGAGGGGATCCTCCACTGTGGCAGGGAATGAGGGGATCCTCCACTGTGGCAGGGAATGAGGGATCCTTCACCGTGGCAGGGAATGAGGGGATCCTCCACTGTGGCAGGGAATGAGGGATCCTCCACTGTGGCAAGGAATGAGGGATCCTTCACCGTGGCAGGGAATGAGGGGATCCTCCACTGTGGCAGGGAATGAGGGGATCCTCCACTGTGGCAGGGAATGAGGGGATCCTCCACTGTGGCAGGGAATGAGGGATCCTCACCGTGCAGGAATGAGGGGATCCTCCACTGTGGCAGGGAATGAGGGGATCCTCCACTGTGGCAGGGAATGAGGGATCCTTCACCGTGGCAGGGAATGAGGGGATCCTCCACTGTGGCAGGGAATGAGGGGATCCTCCACTGTGGCAAGGAATGAGGGATCCTTCACCGTGGCAGGGAATGAGGGGATCCTCCACTGTGGCAGGGAATGAGGGGATCCTCCACTGTGGCAGGGAATGAGGGATCCTCCACTGTGGCAGGGAATGAGGGATCCTTCACCGTGGCAGGGAATAAGGGATCCTCCACTGTGGCAGGGAATGACTGGGATCCTCCACTGTGGCAGGGAATGAGGGGATCCTCCACTGTGGCAGGGAATGAGGGATCCTTCACCGTGGCAGGGAATGAGGGGATCCTCCACTGTGGCAGGGAATGAGGGGATCCTCCACTGTGGCAGGGAATGAGGGATCCTCCACTGTGGCAGGGAATGAGGGGATCCTTCCACCGTGGCAGGGAATGAGGGGAATCCTCCACTGTGGCAGGAACTGTCAGGTGGATCCTCCACTGTGGCAGGGAATGAGGGGATCCTCCACTGTGGCAGGGAATGAGGGGATCCTCCACTGTGGCAGGGAATGAGGGGATCCTCCACTGTGGCAGGAAATGAGGGGATCCTCCAGTGTGGCAGGGAATGAGGGGATCCTCCAGTGTGGCAGGGAGTGAGGGGATCCTCCAGTGTGGCAGGGAATGAGGGGATCCTCCACTGTGGCAGGGAATGAGGGGATCCTCCACTGTGGCAGGGAATGAGGGGATCCTCCACTGTGGCAGGGAATGAGGGATCCTCCACTGTGGCAGGAATGAGGGATCCTCACTCGTGGCAGGGAATGAGGGGATCCTCCACTGTGGCAGGGAATGAGGGGATCCTCCACTGTGGCAGGGAATGAGGGGATCCTCCACTGTGGCAGGGAATGAGGGATCCTTCACCGTGGCAGGGAATGAGGGGATCCTCCACTGTGGCAGGGAATGACTGGATCCTCCACTGTGGCAGGGAATGAGGGGATCCTCCACTGTGGCAGGGAATGAGGGATCCTTCACCGTGGCAGGGAATGAGGGGATCCTCCACTGTGGCAGGGAATGAGGGGATCCTCCACTGTGGCAGGGAATGAGGGGATCCTCCACTGTGGCAGGGAATGAGGGATCCTTCACCGTGGCAGGGAATGAGGGATCCTCCACTGTGGCAGGGAATGAGGGGATCCCCACTGTGGCAGGGAATGAGGGATCCTCCACTGTGGCAGGGAATGAGGGGATCCTCCACGTGGCAGGGAATGAGGGGATCTCCACTGTGGCAGGAATGAAGGGGATCCTCCAGTGTGGCAGGGAATGAGGGGATCCTCCAGTGTGGCCAGGAGATGAGGGGATCCTCCAGTGTGGCAGGGAATGAGGGGATCCTCCAGTGTGGCAGGGAATGAGGGGATCCTCCACTGTGGCAGGGAATGAGGGGATCCTCCACTGTGGCAGGGAATGAGGGATCCTCCACCGTGGCAGGGAATGAGGGGATCCTCCACTGTGGCAGGGAATGAGGGATCCTCCACTGTGGCAGGAATGAGGGGATCCTCCACTGTGGCAGGGAATGAGGGATCCTTCCACGTGGCAGGGAATGAGGGGATCCTCCACTGTTGGCAGGGAATGACAGGATCCTCCCTGTGGCAGGGAATGAGGGATCCTCCACTGTGCAGGGAATGAGGGATCCTTCACCGTGGCAGGGAATGAGGGGATCCTCCACTGTGGCAGGGAATGAGGGGATCCTCCACTGTGGCAGGGAATGAGGGGATCCTCCACTGTGGCAGGGAATGAGGGATCCTTCACCGTGGCAGGGAATGAGGGATCCTCCACTGTGGCAGGAATGAGGGATCCTCCACTGTGGCAGGGAATGAGGGGATCCTCCACTGTGGCAGGGAATGAGGGGATCCTCCACACAGGCAGGGAATGAGGGGATCCTCCACTGTGGCAGGAAATGAGGGGATCCTCCAGTGTGGCAGGGAATGAGGGAATCCTCCAGTGTGGTAGGGAATGAGGGAATCCTCCAGTGTGGCAGGGAATGAGAGGATCCTCCAGTGTGGCAGGGAATGAGGGGATCCCCCACTGTGGCAGGGAATGAGGGGATCATCCAGTGTGGCAGGGAATGAGGGAATCCTCCAGTGTGGCAGGGAATGAGGGAATCCTCCAGTGTGGCAGGGAATGAGAGGATCCTCCAGTGTGGCAGGGAATGAGGGGAACCCCCACTGTGGCAGGGAATGAGGGGATCATCCAGTGTGGCAGGGAATGATGGGATCCTCCAGTGTGGCAGGGAATGAGGGGATCCCCCACTGTGGCAGGGAATAAGGGGATCCTCCACTGTGGCAGGGAATGAGGTAATACTCCAGTGTGGCAGGGAATGAGGGGATCCTCCAGTGTGGCAGGGAACGAGAGGATCCTCCAGTGTGGCAGGGAATGAGGGGATCCTTCAGTGTGGCAGGGAATGAGAGGATCCTCCAGTGTGGCAGGGAATGAGGTGATCCTCCAGTGTGGCAGGGAATGAGGGGATCCTTCAGTGTGGCAGGGAATGAGAGAATCCTCCAGTATGGCAGGGAATGAGGGGATCCTCCACTGTGGCAGGGAACGAGAGGATCCTCCAGTGTGGCAGGGAATGAGGTGATCCTCCAGTGTGGCAGGGAATGAGGGGATCCTCCAGTGTGGCAGGGAATGAGGGGATCCTCCAGTGTGGCAGGGAATAAGGGGATCCCCCACTGTGGCAGGGAATGAGGTGATCCTCCAGTGTGGCAGGGAATGAGGGGATCCTCCAGTGTGGCAGGGAATGAGGGGATCCTGCAGTGTGGCAGGGAATGAGAGGATCCTCCAGTGTGGCAGGGAATGAGGTGATCCTCCAGTGTGGCAGGGAATGAGGGGATCCTGCAGTGTGGCAGGGAATGAGAGGATCCTCCAGTGTGGCAGGGAATGAGGTGATCCTCCAGTGTGGCAGGGAATGAGGGGATCCTCCAGTGTGGCAGGGAATGAGGGGATCCTCCAGTGTGGCAGGGAATGAGGTGATCCCCCACTGTGGCAGGGAATGAGAAGATCCTCCAGTGTGGCAGGGAATGAGGTGATCCCCCACTGTGGCAGGGAATGAGAGGATCCTCCAGTGTGGCAGGGAATGAGGGGATCCTGCAGTGTGGCAGGGAATGCGAGGATCCTCCAGTGTGGCAGGGAATGAGGTGATCCTCCAGTGTGGCAGGGAATGAGGGGATCCTGCAGTGTGGCAGGGAATGAGAGGATCCTCCAGTGTGGCAGGGAATGAGGTGATCCTCCACTGTGGCAGGGAATGAGGGGATCCTCCAGTGTGGCAGGGAATGAGGTGATCCTCCAGTGTGGCAGGGAATGAGGGGATCCTGCAGTGTGGCAGGGAATGAGAGGATCCTCCAGTGCGCAGGGAATGAGGTGATCCTCCAGTGTGGCAGGGAATAGGAATCCTGCAGTGTGGCAGGGAATGAGAGGATCCTCCAGTGTGGCAGGGAATGAGGTGATCCTCCACTGTGGCAGGGAATGAGGGGATCCTCCAGTGTGGCAGGGAATGATGTGATCCTCCAGTGTGGCAGGGAATGAGGGGATCCTCCAGTGTGGCAGGGAATGAGGGGATCCTCCAGTGTGGCAGGGAATGAGGTGATCCCCCACTGTGGCAGGGAATGAGAGGATCCTCCAGTGTGGCAGGGAATGAGGGGATCCTCCAGTGTGGCAGGGAATGAGGGGATCCTGCAGTGTGGCAGGGAATGAGAGGATCCTCCAGTGTGGCAGGGAATGAGGTGATCCTCCAGTGTGGCAGGGAATGAGGGGATCCTCCAGTGTGGCAGGGAATGAGGGGATCCTCCAGTGTGGCAGGGAATGAGGTGATCCCCCACTGTGGCAGGGAATGAGAGGATCCTCCAGTGTGGCAGGGAATGAGGGGATCCTCCAGTGTGGCAGGGAATGAGGGGATCCTGCAGTGTGGCAGGGAATGAGAGGATCCTCCAGTGTGGCAGGGAATGAGGTGATCCTCCAGGTGCAGGAATGAGGGATCCTCCTGTGGCAGGGAATGAGGGGATCCTCCAGTGTGGCAGGGAATGAGGTGATCCCCCACTGTGGCAGGGAATTAAACCCCAGTGCTTCCCATTCCCCAGGTACTATATGACCTACGGGTTTAATACTTCCTAATAATAATAATGATAATAATAATAATAATAATAATAATAATAATAATAATAATAATAATAATAATATTAATATTATTAATAATAATAACATGTAATGTTGGTGAGTAATTAATGATGATTGTTTTTCTTGTTGGTGGTGTGTTCAGCGCTGAGTGAGGAGGAAGCTTTGATGAAGAGTGTCATCAGCCCTGAGGATGTACTCAGACTTAACAAAATCACAGAGAGTAAGTACTGCCTCTTGTTGCCTCTCACTCACCTCCTTCACTGCAAGTACAACTGTCATTGCTGCCTCTCACTCCCCTCCTACACGCATGACAAGGGCTTGCTGCCTCCACTCACCCCTACACTGCAGAACAACTGCATTGGCCCTCTCACTCACCTCCTACACTGCATGTACAACTTACTTGCTGCCCTCATCACCTCCTACACGCAGTACAACTGTCTTGCCCCTCTCACTCACCTCAACACTGAAGTACAACTGTCTTGCCCCTCTCACTCACCTCCTACAAAAAACAGCTTCCTTGCGCCTCTCACTCACCTCCTACACTGCATGTACAACTGTCTTCTGCCTCTCACTCACCTCATACACTGCAGTCAACGTTTTGCTGCCCTCACTCACCCCTACACTGCATGAACAGCTGTCCTTGCGCCTTCACTCACCTCCTACACTGCAGTACAACTGCTTTTGCTCCTCCACTACCCCTTCACTGCAAGTACAACGTCATTGCTGCCCTCTCACTCACCTCCAAACTGCAAGTCAAACTGTCTTGCTGCCCCCCTCTCACCTCCTACACTGCATGTACAACTGTACTTGCTCCTCTCACTCACCTCCACACTGCATGTACAACTGTCCTTGCTGCCTCTCACTCACCTCCTACACTGCATGTAACAACTGCCATTGCTGCCTCTCACTCAACCTCCTCCACTTGCATGTGATCACTGTCTTGCTCCCCAACTCACCTCCTACATTGCATGTACAACTGGTCTTGCTGCCATCTCACTAACCTCCTACACAGCAAGACAATCTGTCTTGCAGGCCGTCTCACTCACCTCACTACATGTACAGACTGTTCCCTTGCTGCCTCTCACTCACGGCCCCTACCTGCATGACCATACCGTCTTAGCTGCCTCTAACTCACCTCCTACACTGCAAGTAAACTGTCCCTTGCTGCTCTCACTCACCTCCTACACTGCATGTACAAAAAAAACTGTCCATTGCTGCATCTCAATCACCTCCTACACTGCAAGTACAAAATGTCCTTTTTTCTGGCCTCTTTCAGCCCGTACACTGCATTACAAATGTCATTGCGCCTCTCACTGTCACACTCCTACACATGCAATGTACAACTGTCATTGCTGCCTCTCACTCACCTCCTACACTGCATGTACAACTGTCTTGCTGCCTCTCACTCACCTCCTACACTGCAAGTACAACTGTCATTGCTGCCTCTCACTCACCTCCTACACTGCAAGTACAACTGTCATTGCTGCCTCTCACTCACCTCCTACACTGCATGTACAACTGTCCTTGCTGCCTCTCACTCACCCTCCTACACTGCAAGTACAACTGTCATTGCTGCCTCTCACTCACCTCCTACACTGCATGTACAACTGTCTTGCTGCCTCTCACTCACCTCCTACACTGCATGTACAACTGTCATTGCTGCCTCTCACTCACCTCCTACACTGCGAGTACAACTGTCATTGCTGCCTCTCACTCACCTCCTACACTGCATGTACAACTGTCTTGCTGCCTCTCACTCACCTCCTACACTGCATGTACAACTGTCTTGCTGCCTCTCACTCACCTCCTACACTGCATGTACAACTGTCATTGCTGCCTCTCACTCACCCTCCTACACTGCATGTACAGCTGTCCTTGCTGCCTCTCACTCACCTCCTACACTGCATGTACAACTGTCTTGCTGCCTCTCACTCACCCTCCTACACTGCATGTACAACTGTCTTGCTGCCTCTCACTCACCTCCTACACTGCATGTACAACTGCCCTTGCTGCCTCTCACTCACCCTCCTACATTGCATGTACAACTGTCATTGCTACCTCTCACTCACCTCCTACTCTGCATGTACAACTGTCTTGCTGCCTCTCACTCACCCTCTTACACTGCAAGTACAACTGTCATTGCTGCCTCTCACTCACCCTCCTACACTGCAAGTACAACTGTCCTTGCTGCCTCTCACTCACCTCCTACACTGCAAGTACAACTGTCATTGCTGCCTCTCATTCACCCTCCTACACTGCAAGTACAACTGTCATTGCTGCCTCTCACTCACCTCCTACACTGCAAGTACAACTGTCCTTGCTGCCTCTCACTCACCTCCTACACTGCATGTACAACTGTCATTGCTGCCTCTCACTCACCTCCTACACTGCAAGTACAACTGTCTTGCTGCCTCTCACTCACCTCCTACACTGCATGTACAACTGTCCTTGCTGCCTCTTACTCACCTCCTACACTACAAGTACAACTGTCATTGATGCCTCTCACTCACCTCCTACACTGCAAGTACAACTGTCATTGCTGCCTCTCACTCACCTCCTACACTGCAAGTACAACTGTCTTGCTGCCTCTCACTCACCTCCTACACTGCAAGTATAACTGTCACTGCTGCCTCTCACTCACCCTCCTACACTGCAAGTACAACTGTCATTGCTGCCTCTCACTCACCTCCTACACTGCAAGTACAACTGTCCTTGCTGCCTCTCACTCACCTCCTACACTGCATGTACAACTGTCCTTGCTGCCTCTCACTTACCCTCCTACACTGCATGTACAACTGTCTTGCTGCCTCTCACTCACCCTCCTACACTGCAAGCACAACTGTCATTGCTGCCTCTCACCCTCCTACACTGCAAGTACAACTGTCATTGCTGCCTCTCACTCACCCTCCTACACTGCAAGTACAACTGTCATTGCTGCCTCTCACTCACCTCCTACACTGCATGTACAACTGTCTTGCTGCCTCTCACTCACCTCTTACACTGCATGTACAACTGTCATTGCTGCCTCTCACTCACCCTCCTACACTGCATGTACAGCTGTCCTTGCTGCCTCTCACTCACCTCCTACACTGCAAGTACAACTGTCCTTGCTGCCTCTCACGCACCCTCCTACACTGCAAGTACAACTGTCATTGCTGCCTCTCACTCACCCTCCTACACTGCAAGTACAACTGTCATTGCTGCCTCTCACTCACCTCCTACACTGCATGTACAACTGTCATTGCTGCCTCTCACTCACCTCCTACACTGCAAGTACAACTGTCATTGCTGCCTCTCACTCACCTCCTACACTGCATGTACCAGTGTCATTGCTGCCTCTCACTCACCTCCTACACTGCAAGTACAACTGTCATTGCTGCCTCTCATTCACCCTCCTACACTGCAAGTACAACTGTCATTGCTGCCTCTCACTCACACCTCCTACACTGCAGTACAACTGTCATTGCTGCCTCTCACTCACCTCCTACACTGCAAGTACAACTGTCCTTGCTGCCTCTCACTCACCTCCTACACTGCATGTACAACTGTCATTGCTGCCTCTCACTCACCTCCTACACTGCAAGTACAACTGTCCTTGCTGCCTCTTACTCACCTCCTACACTACAAGTACAACTGTCATTGATGCCTCTCACTCACCTCCTACACTGCAAGTACAACTGTCATTGCTGCCTCTCACTCACCTCCTACACTGCAAGTACAACTGTCTTGCTGCCTCTCACTCACCTCCTACACTGCAAGTATAACTGTCACTGCTGCCTCTCACTCACCCTCCTACACTGCAAGTACAACTGTCATTGCTGCCTCTCACTCACCTCCTACACTGCAAGTACAACTGTCCTTGCTGCCTCTCATCCACCTCCACACTGCAGTACAACTGTCCTTGCTGCCTCTCACTCACCTCCTACACTGCATGTACAACTGTCCTTGCTGCCTCTCACTCACCCTCCTACACTGCATGTACAACTGTCTTGCTGCCTCTCACTCACCCTCCTACACTGCAAGTACAACTGTCATTGCTGCCTCTCACTCACCCTCCTACACTGCAAGTACAACTGTCATTGCTGCCTCTCACTCACCCTCCTACACTGCAAGTACAACTGTCATTGCTGCCTCTCACTCACCTCCTACACTGCAAGTACAACTGTCCTTGCTGCCTCTCACTCACCTCCTACACTGCATGTACAACTGTCTTGCTGCCTCTCACTCACCTCCTACACTGCATGTACAACTGTCTTGCTGCCTCTCACTCACCTCCTACACTGCAAGTACAACTGTCTTGCTGCCTCTCACTCACCTCCTACACTGCAAGTATAACTGTCACTGCTGCCTCTCACTCACCCTCCTACACTGCAAGTACAACTGTCATTGCTTCCTCTCACTCACCTCCTACACTGCAAGTACAACTGTCATTGCTTCCTCTCACTCACCCTCCTACACTGCATGTATAACTGTCTTGCTGCCTCTCACTCACCTCCTACACTGCATGTACAACTGTCATTGCTGCCTCTCACTCACCTCCTACACTGCAAGTACAACTGTCATTGCTGCCTCTCACTCACCTCCTACACTGCAAGTACAACTGTCATTGCTGCCTCTCACTCACAAGCCAAGTAAGACTACCTGGAGGGCTTGTTCCCTCCAGGTTTTATTGAAGCTTTGGTTACATAAAGATGTCTAGGAAATACTGCTCTTATTTATACATGGAAGTATTTTTTTTACACAGGGTTTGACAAGGTTAAGGATCCCTAGCTTTATTGATGAGCTGTTTACAGGTTAAGGATTACTAACTTTATAAGAACATAAGAAAGGAGGAACACTGCAGCAGGCCTGTTGGCCCATACTAGGCAGGTCCTTTACAATTCATCCCACTAACAAAACATTTGCCCAACCCAATTTTCAATGCCACCCAAGAAATAAGCTCTGATGTGCAAGTCCCACTCAAATCCAACCCCTCCCACTCATGTACTTATCCAACCTAAATTTGAAACCACCCAAAGTCCTAGCCTCAATAACCCAACTAGGCAGACTGTTCCACTCATCAACTACCCTATTTCCAAACCAATACTTTCCTATGTCCTTTCTAAATTTAAACTTATCTAATTTAAATCCATTACTGCGGGTTCTCTCTCGGAGAGATATCCTCAAGACCTTATTAATATCCCCTTTATTAATACCTACCTTCCACTTATACACTTCGAT